TGTGTCTGTCTGTCTGTCTGTCTGTCTGTCTGTCTGTCTGCCTCGCTGCTTTGCGTTTGTTCAAGGAAAACGTCGAGCACTTAGTCGAATTTCTACTGCCTTGCTTTCCCTATAGAATGAGTATCATAGCAATTTAAGTTGCACTTTATCATCTTTTTGAAAGAATGCTCTAGCCTGCATGGTTATGCCAAATTTCTTCAAATTTTTTCGGGAGCACCCTCCTAGTTAAACTCGCTTACTTCGGCAAATTTTTGTGTTGCACGTCACGCACTGTCACCGCAGCTGCTAGAGCCAGTGTTCGCGTCTTTTTAATAATATATGAACTTCGTGGAGATATGCGATTACATTTGGCAAAACCCTTAGGTTTTCGGAATCGACCGGTAACTTCTATATTTGATTCGATTTGCTCCATCTGATGATTTCAATACGCTAAATAAGCTTTCTTGTTGACATACAGTATACTTTTATTTATTTTTGACCAGCCTTTCATTAAAGGGGTAAAGGATGAAGGCCTTCGGCGCCGATCCCATTCGTGGGAGGCATCTCACATATCATCCAAAATGCAACTTGATTTTCATTCAAAATCATAGTGGCATTATGGATGATATGTGGCCTATACAGTGACGCCTACAGGGTAAAACGCACTGACATGGGGGAACAAGTCAGTGCCTTTCACCCTGCAGGTGCGATGGTCACCTGTGAGGGATGGAAATCTCGGTTGGCATAGGCGAGCGCCACTCCAATTTTTGATCCCCTGACAACTCATGTGGTAGAGTGCCATTTACCACTACACCACCTCCACACCTTCTCTTCTGTGACTGGCCTTCTCATCCTTCTTTACCCTCCCATCTTTTGAGCCGGAAAGCCGCATAGATCGTGTCCTAATCATATAATGCTTCACCATTACTGTGAAAGCAAGGTAGCAGTACATATAGTACCAGCAAATCACTGACCCTCGTTTATGGCACAGTTCACGATAAAAATGGTTCCCACGAGTTTAAGGGAATTTTTGAGACGAAAAACACAATAGATAGGGCATAATTTGAGCCTCACTACCGGAATCATCGACGTTCACACCCATCGACCGATGCTATTAGGTGAGTTGTTAGGCGATACAGGTTCGCAGCAGGACCCATGCTTCAGCAAGCAATCGGCTGTCGCTAAGTGGTGACGGGTTGTTTTGTTTTTATTCTGTTATTTTACTTGCTGCGGCGACCATTTCTGTAGTTTTCTACCTTACGAGGATGAAAAAGGTGAGTTAATCGTGATTTGTTAACCCGTGGTTGTGATTCTGAATGTATTGGACGAATGAATTTCATAACACATTTTTGCTTTCTGTACTTAGCTGTATGCACTGACATCCATTGTATAGAAAAACTATGCAATGACACACATTGTGTAGCACGTCCAAACATAACTTCTACGTCTTTTGTTTGGTCTTATTCTTGTCCAGCTCTGTTTTGAAAGACTTTCTTAAAGCCTTCTATCTCTTTTGATACACCGATTCTCGCGCTTTCTTCGCTCCATTGCATTATTTTCCACCTTGTCTTCCATTTTTCGTCATTATCTGGACAAGCTAAAATCATCTGAACTGTGCTTCGAGGAATCCTTTTCAGATCGATAGGAAAGCCTTTTGAGATCGATAGGAAAGACTTCTGAGCTAGCTATGTTGCCCAGGATTATGTTACTCCACAAAGAGTCGTTGGATTAGGAGTTTTGAAGCTCTCTGGATGTGTTTGGCATCTTACTCCATTTGTGTCAATTTGTACTCTTACTTGAAAAAGAGAGCCACGAAACAAAAATCCATTCTGCCTATACCAGAGAAAGGAAAAACAGGAGCAGAGGTGAGGTGGCTACGATCAAAACAAAACGCTGATGTGACTCTTTTCTTCAAGTTCGTCGATGCGGCACCATGTTTTCCATTCCCACTCAGAATTCTAATGACATCTTCACCCGTCTTTGGCATATACAATTGTAGCATTTTGATGTACAACATTTTCCATCTTCCAGACAATTCAACTCAATTCAATATGAATTTCCTAACGTTAAGTAGGAAAGTGTTTTTGTTTATTTTCATTTTTATTCTATTAAAGGTACAGTACTCGCCGTAAGACCTCAAAAATTCACGAGAATACCGCGATTCGCGTCTTACGTCTTTTCTTTATAAATCGCTTCAAAATAAAGCAATCAAGGAGAAAAAATACCGTTGAACTCAGCTTATCGAGCTCTACAAGTTGATACCCGAAAATGTTAAAAATGTTTTTTTTTGGATTGCGCCATGCACTTGAGCTCCATCCGAAAAGTGATTGCATGCACGTGAGGTGCACGCTTTAGTGCTTGTAAGGGCTCATTGGTCCCTGAAGATGATCTATTCAGAATTTGCTTCGATTCTCTATTGTCTGCGAGTGTGTAATGGCACACCCTATCACAGATCAAAATTTCTCCCCTGGTATGGCCCCAAACTTCGAACTTCGTCAAGCCCAAGTTATAAAACAAGGTTTTTTCCCTTTCTGCTGGAGGAGAAAAGATCATTAGATAGCACTTTCTACGGAGAGTCTAACAGTATACAATTTAATTGCAAAAATTCAAGCGACAAGGGAAAAAACATAATTTTGTAATATGAGCGTGACGATAAGCGAAGTTTAGAGCCATACCAAGAGAGAACTGTTGATCTTTGATAAGGTGTACCATAACAGCCTCGCAGAACACAAAGAGTATTCTACAATAGTGGATTGTCTCGCTGCCGCCTCCTCAGGTTCCGGAGAAAAATTCCTTCAAAAACTGAAAAATGCCAAAAAATCGACTCCTTATTTTGCCGTAAATTGATGTCATATTCGCAATGGAACCTGTAAAGGGGAGAATTGAGTGCAGAGACCGTAGATGCACTTATCTACAGCCTCTACATTGTAAAAGAACGATGGAAACCGCTCCTTCAGACCGTTTCAAAACTCCCATTCAAGCTGCCCCACTTTACCGCCACTACAGTACCTCGCCCCCTGCAGATCTTACCCCCTCTAAAGTAATCATTAATCGATCCAACCCCCTTCTCGCCACTTCGGCACCCCGGCACCAGCAGATCTGACCCACCATTCAAATAATTATCATTCGAAAGCCTACTACAGTACCCGGCTGCATGCGTATCCAAACACGCCTTGCAGGAAACCGCTAATAATAAGAGACAGGAAAGTGGTGAAAGAAAGTGGTTGTGGAGGGAGGTTTTCTTCACGGGTTGACCTATATATCATTCGATAGCATTTTTCACGGGGAATCTAGCAGTGTACAACGCAGCTACAAAAAGGCCAACGGAAAGAGAAAAACATTGTTTTATGATTTGGGCTTGACGAAGTTCAAAGTTTGGGGCCATACCAAGGGAGAAATTTTGATCTATGATAGGGCATGCCATTTCAGACTCGCAGACAATAGAGAGATGTCTACGACAGTGGCGTGCCTCAACACCATCTCCTCAGATCCCGTAGAAAAATTCCTCCAAAAATGGGAAAATGCCAAAAAATCGACTCCGTTATTTTGCCATAAATTGATGTCATTTTCTCAATGGAACCTGTAAAAGCAAGCACTTTGCTCACATGTTGAGATACTGTAAAGTAGTAATATATCTAGTCAAATTGTCGGAAGCAATTCAAAGTTCAGATTAACAGAACAAGCAAAAACTATAGTGAGAGGAAATGAGTGAAGAGAAGAGTAGTTCCAGCGAAAACAAGGAAATCTCAAGGTTGAATTTTACTTCTGAGTGTAGCCCAAGTTTCATGCCGACTTTCTTACTCAAAATTTTTATAGAAAAGGAGTTTGGGCTACGCCCTTTGTCTGGTGATTTTCAGCCATAAATTTCTTGTTTCTCCCTTCTTCATCCCGTTACTTAAAATTTTGTAAAGCGCGTACAAGCCATTGCCATTGTTTCCGTAATCTTTTCGAGTATGAGCCTAGCATTTTATAAGAACGGTACTATTGGTAGTTAACATGGCGTTAACCATGAACCATGATCGTCACCTTCCTGGTGAAGCCATTCTAAACTTTCTCCAGTGCTTCGATAGTTGGGACTATGAATGACAATCCTCCACTCCAAAATAGTGTGAAAGTGGCTTTGTGTGCACGAACGCAAACCGAAGAGTTCTTATAATTCGAACCTTCGCAAAGGTCCCAGATCTCATTAGTAGTATCACGCTTAAACGTCACACGAAAATAAGGATAATGCGAATGATGATGAGCTGAAGTAAGCAGTTCTTTTTGCGCTTGTTGCAACATGTCTCCCGATTGAGGCTATTCTTCATCATCCAATACTTCATTGCCGTTTCGACCTGAAATTTATTCTTTATCCCTCCCTATCGTATTTCAGTGCCACAGGCTGTGTAAAATCTCGTTGCTCATACGAAGATACTATATTCCATGCATCGTCTTCCATTTCTAACGGCAGAAAACATGTTCAATTTTACTATGAAATCAGTTTTTCAGATGTTTGTGCTATGAGCAGTACATTGGAGAACGAATATGTCCACACGGCATATTCACGGCTGGCCACCTACCAGATGAAAGACCACCGACAGTTCTCGCCTCGAATTTGGCCTAACGTTCGGAAGTTCCTCGAATCGCAAACGCCTGGTAGCACTGTCATCGACGTAGGCAAGTACTACATATATGTCTTGTAGCGCTCCTTTCTTACTGAATGAACAGTTTCCAGTTTCTAGGAATGACCTCAGCAAATTTCTTCCCGCCAACTTCTTCCGAAATGCCCTCGACTTGTTAGACTCGTTTCCGCAGTGAAATCAAAAGGAGAGTTCATGGAAGTTTCACCTCATACGTGGAACAGGAAAATGTTGATGGGAGAGAGACGATCTAAGGGCTCATAAACTCCTCAAAAATTCTCGATACCCCCTGAGCGAGCTGTACTAGGGGCATGACCTTTAAGAAATTGCATGTTTCTCACTTTCGTGATGACATCACATAGCAAACCTATCACGGCATGACACAAAATGAGTTGAACTTGACCCTTCTTCCGTTGGCTTTGTGATCAGGTTGTGATAGACTCAAAGATACGCTTTCTTTTTTTCGCGGACCAAAATGTCTTTAAATGCAGAGCATGCTGGATGCCGAAATGCTCGGTGGCATTATCAACCCGACAGAGGGATGTTTCTGTTTGGAGAAACAGGCGATAGGTGACACAGGTGACCATAGAGATTCTGCAGTTGTTGGTTCCTATCAGAGATAAACACATTGAACAAGAAAGCTGTACCAGGATGTCGCCATCGGAGAGAACAGAGATAGTAGTATCCCTTCCTTCTAGAAACTATGGTACTGTTAAAACCCGCTAGGACTCATAGACAAGGAGGCAGGTCCTTGATACTTTTTCTTCAGGATCGTGCCACCTAATCATCGATCTTCTTTGCTGTCCTCTGCTCAACGAAACAGGACACCATCATTTTCGGTTTGGATAAAAGCTTCTATAAAATGTCTATTTTAGGGTGCGGTGAAGCTAAGTACACTCGTTCTTCTGTATTTGTACTCGGAGTGGACACTTGCGCAGATGCCCTAATTGGAAGGGCTCTGAGATCACCGCCTAATCACCTCGATCTTCTATTGGCTGATGCTTTGAAGCTACCATTCAGGTTGGCTTTCTAATAAACAATCAACCGGTAAAAAAGATAACATGAAGATGGAACGAATCGGGGAATTAGGCTTCATCGCGCTCATTCGTGAACTCAAAAAAGTTGCTACAACAGTGGTTTTTCTCGAGACAGGCTCTGGAGATGTATTCAAATCTAGGGAGCATGATGTGTGTATAATAATTGGTAACAATAGACATCTTCATCGAAATAGTTCACAATTACCAAATTGGAAAAAAGATACAAGTAAAAATGAGGCGACAGGTAACACAGGTGACCATGGAGATATGTTATCCGAGCTGACGCCCTGCTATCAGCATCGAATATCAGCTACCGATTCGCTAATGACCAAACTCTGACATGTGCGATCGTTCATTGAGGCAAAAAGCGGGTGCAGAGCATCTGGATGCTTCCCGCGCTTCCGATTCGAACGTAAGAAAGAGGTTGAAAAGGTAGTGGCGGAGTCACGACACGTGCTATCCAAGAAAATAACTTAATTGCTTCACCTTCACGTTATGTTTTGCAAGATGGCAAAAACAAAATTGATAAATGATCAAAGTGAAGGGACCAACAGCTTTACTGAGGTATTGGAAGCGAGTGAAAGCAATTCAAAAGGTCAGTAGTCGAATGTTCTCTGTACCTCTAACCAACCGTGCTCTTAGGCGAGTTGATTGCACGAGACCTTTGGCCTGCGTAAATCTTTTCAACGAATTTGCAAGAGTTGTTTCATTTCCCTCTTTTTCGTATATGTACGAATTAGAAGCATTCATCTCATCTACACCGAGGTATGGATGCTGTGAGAAATGAGCAAAACATTAAAGCCTCACGTGTCTCCATTCAGCTGCTGATTTACCCACTTTGATCCCATCGCGAAGTCTGTCATCAGGAGGCGCTTCAATTTTCCCATGCAGAGGATTCAAAGACTGGTGAAATCGTTTCCGGTTTTTACACTGTATAAGAGTTGCTCTCTAGAACGGATGACGTAATAAAATTTCCGTTATTTTCCTTCTTATGACGCTCTTCATGGTTGCTGAAATCAGTGATCTTCGTAAAGGCATGCACAACAGGGTAAGGTCGAAATGACTAGTTTTACAATCACATAATTTTTAGGTAGCAGCCTCAAGCCTAATGTGACGGTAGAAAACCTTAACAAATGACTTTACTAATGACTCGTCACCATGAGGATTATTCTTACTTAGTATAAAGTAACAACAAAGTGTCAAAAACCGATCGATATTATTTTCTGAAGAGACCGTAGATTCAAATTTTTTCCCCTCACTTTTTAATTCTTTCAAAGGGCTATGAAGAATATCTCAGAGACAACACTGCTGATGCTATACTGAACGTCTCGGTCTTGCACCATCTGTCAACGGCAAGTCGTCGCAAAGCAGCACTCGAAGGTGGGGCAATACAAACAGAAAATCACATTAAACAATTCTCAAGTGTCCTCCTCCTTAAATACCAAATCATTTCAAATTAGCGGCTGCAGTAATTAATTAAGTGAGCGCGATCTGTAAGACCATTAATTATCTAGCATTACCGGGTGTGGTGCGATTCACGCGTCGACACAAGGGCGGGCCTGCCATGGCACCGTGTTTGGACGTGGTGCTTAGAACACCACGCCTAGCATCGTAATGGGAAAAATAGAAATCCACACGAGCAAAAAGAAAAATGATCAACTATACACGTTCACAGAAAGATTGCCTTCATTTAGATCAGACATATCAAAGTTATTCTTATTCCAAACGTTTTATAAGTAAATTGTTGTCCTATAAAGTAAATCCTTGAGCTTCGTTGTTATAGTAGCGAGATTTGCACTATTTCATGGTATAGCCCTGGGATGATGTAAATCTCCCCCTGTCCGTTTCACCTGAAGGGGGGACGGGACGAACGTGCGTCCGAGGATGCGCGCGGCAACCTGCGCGGCGAAATTCGTGGCGATTTGGACGACTCTGACGCCAATTTTCGGGGCACAAACTTGAAGTAGAGTAGTTTAGTAGAGTCAGATGATCCTTCTAATCTACTCAACTTCAAATTTGGGCCCCAATGATAGGCGCCAAAGGCGTTCAAATCGTTACAAACTTCGCCGCGCAATTTGCCGCGCGCGTCCCCGGACGCACGTTCGCCCACATACCCAGCTGAAGAGTATGTAGCGACCGCATCAGAATTCATACGTAATCTGCTACGCGGTGCGTCGCATGCTGCGTGTATAAAAAGATCTGGTTGGATCACGCGTGAATGGCACGTTTTTTTCAGCATTACCGCGTTGTTCTTGTAGGGCCTGAAACCGCTAATGAAGATTCGTGCCATTAGGTTAGGAACGAATTCGCAACAAAGCAGCGAGAGGTAATAGCGCCTCTTGAAAGCTCCATGGTGATGACGTTGCCTGATTGTTCTTCTTTGTGAGAAAAGAATTAATGTGGTTATGAGCGCTCTCCGAACTGTTTAAGCAGTAGCCCGAGAGGTACCAAGGCAGCCTCATTTTGTCAGCTCAGCGGCCTCAATGCTGAAGAATGTTGAAGAGACCTTGTTTGAGCTTTTCAGAGGCATGTCATATCAAGCGATGGGATTTTCAGAATGTGGTAGATGTCTACGGCCAGGCGGACAGATGCTTACGTATGTCTGGGCGTACGAGCAGCCGAATGGCTCATTCAAATCTCAAGATCTTCTAGTGCCATGGAACCTAAGCGAAATACCAATCAATGGTTAGTCACCACTGGAATGACGTTGTCTCAATATTTATGTATTACGACGCACTTATACAATTTTTTCGCAGTAGTCAGTTATTGTGTGTACGCCTCATAGGAATGTAGGAAATTAACGCTCATAAATCCTATTGTACTTTTGTATGTTCGAGTTTTGTTCTTATTCGGTCAACAGCAGCAGAGTCTGCGATCTACGGGTAATGGAACTTCTCCCCGATTGCTGCATTCTCTCTTGCGGCATGTGGCAAATGTCGCTGCAGTTACCGTACCCACCCGCCTTCCCGTCAATCGATATAACGCAATATTTTTTGTTGATTGCCTTTCTTTTTTATTAGATTTGGTCCTTTTTTGTGTTTCTTTTGCACTTTCATGCCTATTAGATTTGATTAGTTAGAACGACCCCTCCTATCTTATCGTCGATCAAGACCGCTTTGGAATGGAAGAGAGCAGCCAGTCAATTCAAATGGGTGTGTGTCAAGTCGTGCGTCCGAGGGTGCGCGCGGAAAATTGCGCGGCGAAGTTCGTGGCGAATTTGGACGACTCCGGCGCCTTTCATTGGAGCCCAAATCTGAAGTAAAGCAGATTAGTAAGGTCAGCTGATCCTACTATTCTACTGTACTTCAAAATTGGGCCCAAATAATAGGCGCTAAAGTCGTCAGAATAGGTATGGGTTTCGCCGCGCAATTTGCCGCGCGCACCCTCGGACGCACGTCTTGACCGTCTCCCAATTCAAATAATTAAAAGCCTCTTTACCTCACAAGTTGCGCGCTCCAATCCTCCATCGCAATCCTGCGATAAGGGCGGGTACGGCGTGCGCGACGCCGCTTTCGGGGTGAAGATTCCGGACCCGTGATCTACGGAATGGCCTCTGGTGATAAGTTGATGCACAAGTTAAAACTTTTACGGTCCCACACCAGCCGGTCTCCTGAAATGAATTCGGTACAGAATCGGGGTAACAGATTTTTTAACCAGTACAATAATAAAATCATATGAAGAGGTGCATGTTAGGAAATGCGCTTTTTCTTTTTGCAAAACAAAATGCATTACATAATTCGTTTGAAGTATCAAACGGACCCAAAGACACAGTCCACGATAATTATGGGGTATTTAGTTCTGGACAAATAATGTGAATGATAGTTCAGAAGAGAGGTGAATTACGGAAACTGGTGCTTCTAGCGAACTGCAATGCTTCACAGCTGGCTACAGTAAGATGCCTACGTGAAACTTATGTGTACCAGAGCGTTGGCACAAACTCTACAACTTTACAACCCTCATTAATCTCTATACTGGCAGGCATATCAGACAGAATCCCTGCGGGTATTCTTGGGGGTTACGGGTTCATATAAGGAAGACATCTCAGGACCATTTTTAACGTGGACTGTGCTTGAAGTGTAATGTTCAGGTCGACTGCCTAAAGTGAAGTTTCACAAAGATTCAACCAAGGAACAGCGTGTTATACAGGTAGTAATTTTTGGCAAATCTTAATCGTGGTGGTGGTTGTTGATGTGAACCTATTCAGGCATCGATCCCTATTGCTGTGAATGAGGAGGAGCCCAGTAAATGTTCGGTGAACTGGTTAGGATCTTTGTTCAGTAAGGTATGTCTGAGGGAAAACTTGCAAAGCAGTAGGCAAGCCAAGATTGATGGCATGGTCACCTTGTTTGTTTACATTATTGTTTCATTTTTCTGAATCCTGTGGCTAGTTTTGTGTAAATAAGAGTCAATCAAAACAGTGATAAACACAATAAAAAGTGCGTGATGTGGGAGAAGTGAAGCAGAAAAAGGAGCTTTTTGGGTAACAGAAATGCAGCTCCAACTTTCCAGTTTCAATACAATACAGGCATGTGTATCGTGGGTGGAGACTTGTTTTTTTACTCCATCACATCATTTATTTATTTTCCATTGAGTACGTAAGCATAATTTTTATGAGAAATTTTGAAAAAAAAACTATAAATGCTAAAAGTAAAAGGAAATATCGTGGAAGAAATTGTCATTCCACCCTACAAAGA